CAATCTCCTCACATGTGATTTACTACCTTTGAAAAGCTGCTGAAGGGTCAGCTATGGGTCAGTGCCTACTCAATGGTACAAAACAACAAAAACAATTATACAATGTTTGTGTACAGCAAAACATTATAAATGAAAATTCTTTTTAAGAAATTTATAAAAACAATACAGCTGTACAACCTCACTCTTGCCACTGAAAGTTTTAAACAGAAAGAAACCAACCAGGGAAAAAAGTTGCCTTCAGGAGAGCACTGACTGCTGTGAGGAGACCAGACTTGGCGGGAGGGAGTGGAAAGGTTGTAATGATCCTGGAACAGGAAATTCAGTGTAGTGGTGAAGAGAGAGGTGAAGACAAAGATTAGAGCAAAAATCACCAGGGCTTAGTGATGGCTTTAGCACAAAAGGTAAAGGAACATGAGCTATATATAGCATGACCTCCCTCACATGTTCCCACAGGAGATTAAAGTGCCTTATGTACATAGAGTGATTAGCAAGATATCTGACCCACTGTAGCTTGAAGTCAATGAATGTCACCGTTGTTTTCATATCTGGCCCATCATCTCCTGAGAAATTTGGACTTCCGGGTTTGTCTGCCATGGACACTCCTCCATGGCCTGAGTCCTTCCCTGCCTGCCTGCCTTTCCTGCAGACACTGCCTGAGGTTCTGCTCCAGTTGTTACCAGAACCAGGAAAAGACAGAGGGTTTTGGGGAGTGGGGCTCTACGCCCTTGCCATGCTACTACACCCTTGTTTTTTTAAGGGTACTTTACTGGATGCCTCTGGAAACCCTATGAACTTTGAAAAATGTCTACAGTTGTAGAGGGGCTTCAGGCCTTTTGTTCATAGGGTCGCTATGAGTCGTGCTTGACTTGAAGGCAGTCAACAACAAGGGAGTGTAACTTCAGAGGGAATTATGGTATAAAAAAGGTCCAGGTCACTTCAGCTTTTTCTAGGCTTCTGGTGGCAAAAGCCTAAAATTTAAATCCTTTATAAGAACAGAAACCACTCCTACCCCACCCTCACCACACTGCTGGCTCTCCTAGCTCTCGGTTGGCTTGATAACCTTTCCTTTAAGGGCTTCCTTCTTCAACCTCAGAAGTTGTCACAGTACCTTAGGTCTGAGTCATTCTGTCTGGTGTAGTGTCCAGTGCTGAGTGACATCTTTTACCACCTACATCTTATGGAATCACTGGACCCCTTGGACAGAAGAGAACCCGGACCCCTCAGGTTTAATTTTCTAACTAGAAACTCCAGTGAAGAACCTTTTAGTGCAGCGGTTAGGTTTTCAGCTGCTACTTGGAATGTTGGGAGTTCGAAGCCACCAGCTGCCCAAAATCTCTGTAAATGTTCATTAAAACTAATAACATTTAACAATAATAAAAAAAAAAAGATTGTTGTTAGGTGATACTGAGTCAGCAAATACAACTCAAAGCAAATGAGCCTATGAACAACAGATCGAAACTTGGCCCAGTTCTGTGCCATCCTTACAATCTCCGCCATGTTCAAGCACTGCTACAGTTACTGTCAGTCCATCTCACTGAAGGTCTTAGTCTCCTTTTCTTCTTTCTCCAGCATGATGTCTTTTCCCGAGATCTGATGCCTTCTGACAATATGCCCTAAGTATGTGAGATGAAGTGTCACCTTCCTTGCCTCTATGGAGCAGACGGAGGAGACTTGCTGGCAAGTCTCTAGCAAGTAGCAAGTTGCACTTGACCTTGTTTGAATCCATTAGAAGCTCTGGGGGAGCAGATGGGTGGTCTCCTCTGGAAGGTCATCAGGAGTCAGGACCACCTGTACAGCAATCAGTTTTCCATCAACAGCCTTGGAAATCCTATGGGGCAGTTCTGTTCTCTTTTACTGGCTTGTATTGACTTGGAATTGACTCGCTGGTATTGACTCGCTGGTATAGGCAATAGGGAGTTGTGCTGCTAACTTCTCTGAAGGTGCAGATCACCAGCCACTCCTCAGAAACATGTGAGCCATTTCCCTCCATGTGGTTTACAGACCCCAAAGCCCACAGGAATGTCAGCTCAGAGATGGTTCTCAGCCCAGGCCAATGAGTTGTGAAATTTACTCATTAACACAGGACAGTTACAAAAGGTACTCAAGCACTGGTGTTTTAAAGAAACTGCCGAGGCGGTTTTAATGTATAGTTGTGTTGCGAACCATCTAATGCATGCTTGCTCAAATGCTACCCGGGAAGATCTTGTCTCTCCTCTTTGGCTGCCTTCCATCGTCTGTGCCATGGCAGTCTTGGGCATCTCTGGTTATGATTTCTTCTATTATTTTTTTCTCTTAAGAGCTTGACTTCACTTTTTCCGTTTTTACCTTTGCCTTCTTATTCCTGCCTTTTATTCCTTAAATAGTAGCCTTTCTAGAGCTGTATCTTTTAGCATTTTCTTCTTGATGGAAAATATCATTCAAATCCAAGACTCTAGTAGCCATATATTAACTGAAGATGTTCACTCCTATGAGAAAGGGTGGGCATTTTCAACTTTATAAACCCCCGTCCAGGGATGCTTACCCACTCCAATGATGGGACCCTACCATACCCATGTGAGGGTGAGGCTAACTCAAGGAGGTCTTGGGGAGATGGGGGGGCGGGAAAGAGTAAGATTTTTTAAAAAATATATAGCACAGAGGTTATATCACGAAGCAGGTTTGCAGAAGCTACAATTCTGGACCGTTAATTCTGTCCTCCAAAAGTTCGAATGTCATGATAGATCAGAGACCAACACAAAGAAATTAGTCTTTGGGACAAGAGGGGAAAGTAGAGGAACATAGAGAAGAAGTCTTTCTTTGTGTTGTTAAAAAATTAGAAGTAAATAATTACACACAAAAATAGATTAAAAAAAGAAAAAGAAAGCCATCTTGGAACATCTATTAACTCCACAGATGCCTGAATATCTGATGATAATACATTTCCAATAATGGACTGTATAATTTTCACCAATGATAACTTCTGCATTTACAGTTTAGATCTCTCCACAGAGTTTCTCACGTCCTTCTGAAAATCCTATTGGGTGACTCAAAGATCATAACTCAAAGGAACTCAAACTCAACGTGGTTGAGTCAGAACCAACTCATAGATGACCCTCCAGCAGGTTTTCAGAAGTTGCAAATCACATGGGAGGAGTGTGCATCTTTCTCTCAAGGCGGCAAAGTCACTGTTGGATTCGAACCACCAGAGAGGTGCTACCTTTGGGTTAGTCAGCACAACTTCCTACGGTCGACGCCACCAGAGCTCCCTGGTGGTTGTTACTATAGTTAGGGGCCATTGAGCTGACAACTCAGAGCACCCCTATGAACAACAATCTGAACCCTGCCCTTCCTGTGCTGTCCCCACCATCTCTGGTAGACTCGAGCTCATTGTCATTGTCACTGTGTCAGGCCATCTTGTGGAGGGTCTTCCTCTCTTTATCTAGCTTTCCATCTTTCCTACATGTCTTTTTCCAAGGACTGGCCCCTCCTAACAACATGCTCCAAATATGTGAGACATTAGCCATCCTTGCCTCCAAGGGACACGCTGGTGTCACTTCCTCCAGGACAGACTTGTTAGTTCTTTGTGTAGTTTATGGGATGTTCAGCACTCTAACACCGCAATTCAAAAGCACCAATTCTTCTCCTGTCATCTGTATTCACTGTCCAACTTTTAGACGCACAGGAAATAGTTGAAAAGAAGCCACTTTGATCATCAAGCAGCTTAGATACCACATATCTAAAACAGATTTCCTTTCCTTTCCTACTCTGATCCTCTCCTGGACTTATTTTGTGAATGAAACTACCATCCTTTCATTCAATTAAGACTTACTCTCTACCACTCCATGTCCCCTATCCCCACAACCATGTCCAACTAACATCTAGATCCTGTACAGTAACCTCCAAAGCATCTCCTAATTTCCAGCCTTGATTCTCTTTCCATTGCCTTTGAGATGTCTTGGTTATTTGGATAATCTGTAAATGCCACAGTAAGAAAGGGATTTATCTTGACCTAACAGTGTTAATACCTTTGGAGGATAGCACAAAGCTGGTACAAGGGAGAGAAGTCTAGGTTTAAAAGGGATGGGGCTGGCAAGTGGAGAGTGAAAGAGTGCCAGGCTGTGGGTGTCATTTACTGCTTAGCTGGAAAGTGTGGGTCCCTCTGATGCTGTACCAAGTGTCAAGGGGGCCAGGCTGGCTAGGGACCAGGCTGCTGTGGGTCTGTATCCAGGGCTGGCTTTGGGGCTAGGTTTTCTGTGGGGTATGTGTTGGGAGAAGTCAGTTGAAGTCTTGGGGGAGATCTTTGCCCTGGGATCTTCCTAGGGCTTCATCGTGGCGTGCACATCCTCCAAGGCATGGACTCTGCGAGGCTGCAGAGGGTGTTCTGTTTCCAGTTGCAAACTAAACCAGCAGGTTCTCAGCTTGTACCTGGTGGTGGCCCCTGCTGAGAGCACCAGGCTCAGGTCCAAGACGTGTGAGCTGAGCGGGCACCTGACGCTCCCCAGCACCAGTCAGGAAGTTCACTGGATTCTGAAGAGGATCGAGCAGTGAAGGCCCTGGGATAAGACGCTCCTTCAACTCCGAGGTCTCTGTACGCGCCCTTCTCTATTCTCTCCAGACTCCCCTGTCCTGTGTCCTTTCTTCTCCAACTTCCAGGCCCCTTCCATCTCCCGCTGCCTCTGTCTGCCCTGGACATCCACCCCTTGCCACCCTGCCTGCGTCATTTCTGTCCTTCTTCCCCACTCTCCACCTCCCTTACTGCTCCCCGTCTGCCCCCCTCCCAACTCTCTCCTGCCCCTGCTCTTAACTGACCCTTCTCGCTTGCCCCTGCATTCGTGTCCCCTACTTCTCCCACCATTTTTCTCTTCCATTCCTCCGCTCTCCACTTTTCTCTCTCACTACCTCTTCTCCAGCCTCAACTCCTCCGCCTTCTAAGTTTTCCACCCTCTTCCCCGACCTCTTCCACCTAGTGCCCTCCCACCCCTGCCCCTCCCTTCGGTGTTTGCTTTCCTCCCGGATCCCGGATGAAGGGGTTGTCCTGCCCCTGCCTCTCCCTGCCCCACTGCTGGCAGTCCGGGTCTTCCTTGATGGCTGAGGGCTCCAGTCCTCAGGCCCCGGGGAAAGGGCCCCTGCTCAGCATCCAGCTCCTGCGAGCCCAGTACGAAGGCCTGAGATCCCGGCAGAGGGCCCAGCCCCACGTGGTGGTGCTCCCCAAAGGTAGGGCTGGGCACAGGTGGGAGGGGAGAGGGCCTGGCTGGAGCCCAATGGATGACAGTTGCAGGCAGGGCCACGTCAAGGCTTGGTGGTGCTGGTGGGGTTGCTGGTGGCCACTGGGCTTAGCTGAGCGCCCTTCCCGTTTCTCCTGGAGCCTCACATGCCTGACCTCTGCTCCTGTGTTCCCATCTCACTGAACTGGTCAGCCTGGTGAGCCGGACTTGGCTGCCCTGCAGAGCCAGGTGGGAGAAGGAGCTCTACTTCCTGGCTGGGTCTGACCCAGCTCTTACTTCCTGCAAACCAGAGACAATGAGGCGGAGAAGGGGGCAGCTGGTGGGGAGAAGATATGGCCAACTGGGTCTGGGAGCAGCAAGGCCCAGGGTCCAAGATGTAACTCAGGCTCACAGAACGTGATGCCACCGGCTCAGACCTCCGCCAGGGCAGGTCCAGTCAGACACAGGAGCTCCTTCCTCAAGAGAGGCAGCCCACTCTTTTTGGAAACTCAGACGTCACTCCAGAAGGAAATTAGCGCAAGGCTAATAGTAATAGCATTAGAAAAACTAGGCAGAAGAAATCAGGGGAAAAGAACCTAAGTTAGGTGGCAATTATTATGTTGTTGTTGTTGTTATGTGCCATCGAGTCGTTTCCGACTCATAGCGACCCTATGCACAACAGCCCTAAACCCCGCTCTATCCCGCGCCAACCGCACCGCCTCTGACACACCCATCCCGATTACCCCAGTCACCGAACCAATCCATCTCATAGAGGGTCTTCCCCTCCTGCGTTGTCCCTCCGCCCTCCCAAGCATGATGTCCCTCTCCAGGGACCCGTCCCTCCTGGCAACATGTCCAAAGTATGTCAGACAAAGCCCCAGAATCCTTGCCTCCAAGGAGTAGCTTGGTTTAATCCTCTCCAAGATAAATCTGTTTGTTTTCCTGGCAGTCCAGGGTACATTCAGTACCCTTCTCCAGCACCACAGCTCAAAAGCATCCACTCTCCTTCTGTCCTCCCTAGTCATTGTCCAACTCTCTGATGCATAACAAGCGATTGCAAATACCATGGCCTGTATCAGGCGCACCTTAGCTCCAGAGAGACACTGTTGCTCCTGAGTACCTTAGAGAGGTCCCTAACAGCAGACTTTCCCATCGCGATACACTTTTTGATTTCCTGACTGCTGGTGCCAAGAGTGTTGACTGTGGAGCTGAGCAAACTGAAGCTGTGAACACTCTCAATCTCTTTGTCATCCATCCTGATGCTGCCAATTGGTCCAGTGGCAAGAATCTTTGTCTTCTTGACGTTGAGCCTTAGTCCATACTGAAGGCTGCAGTCCTTGACCCTTCGCAGCAAGTGCATGAGGTCCTCCTCAGTTTCAGCAAGCAGGGTTCCCCCAATATCCCCCTACCCTTTGACTGCATGGTAGATGGTGGTATTGCTTCTTGTGATGGAAAATGTAGAAGGGAAGCAGGTGAGGACAAAGGGAAGGAACAAGTTCATGGAAATGGGAAGACACCCTGAAGTTCAAAGCTGGGCCCTGGGAGGCTCTGTGGGTGTCTGTGCAGCTCAAGGGACTCAGTGAATAGTCTCCCTTCACTGTAACCTCTGGTGGCACAATTCATAGGCTGTTGAACTGCTAACCCCATGACGCAGCCTCTCTGTTGGTTCCAATCCAGCAGCCACTCTTTCAAGTGAAAGATGGGCAGTTTCCTCCTATGTGATCCAAGCCTCAGAGAACCTGCTGGAGGGTCAGCTGTGAGTGGGCTCTGACCTGATGGCAGTGAGGTTGAGTTGGAGCTCCAGGCCTGGCCAACAAAGCATCAGGGGACAGAGGGAGTTCCCCATTAGAGCAAGAAGTGTGCTCTTTCTAAAATTTAGTAAAAAGTGCACAATTCAGTGGGTTTAGTATATGTACAGTAGTATTGTGCGGCTGTTTGTGGACAGAAGTGCCCATTCTAAGCCGAAGGAGACGACTTCCCATTACTTGAGTTGGTGCCACCTGGTGAGACCCGTGGAACTGCATTGGTGCAACCTGATAGTGCTCCTACATTTGCAGGGCCCAGGTTCTCCATCCTCAGACCAAAATAAAGACCCGAACCCTTTGTCCTCAAATCAGGTCTCATTCATAGTCTGAAGGAATTCCATCAACCAGCACCCAAAATGTCATTGCAATCTTGGATCTTGAGACACAGAATCCTAGTTGAAGGAGTAGCCCAGTCTCAATGGCTACTCTGTCTTCCCGTGTCTTTGTGCTGCTCTCAGAAGAAGCTCAAGCTGCCAGATTCCTTACTTGCTCGTCTTCGTAACATGAACATGCCCCAATTTTGACCACTTGTTCTTCCCTGACTTTTCTTCTACTATTTCCTGCTAAATAGTTGAACATTCTAGAACTCTAACTTTCACTTGAGTCTCACCTATTTATACCCCTGTTTTCATTATTTCAACTACCACATATATGTGGGAGACCTCTAAAACTCCTGCCCAACTTTCTCTTCCAAAATCCAGGCTGCTTGGATGTTCTACAGGCAAACATCTGAAATACAACATATTCAAATGCATACTCATCTCCCCCAACCAAAATCTCCTATTCCTTCTATATTTTCTGTCACAGAGAGTGGTACCACCATCAACCATGTTGTCAAGGTATAGGGGGAAGTCACATTTTCTAGTGATAACTAGCATCTATCTCTATCGGGCATGATGGTAAAGTTTTATTTGCATTAACTAATGTCTACAAGCCCGCTATGGTGCAACTGCAGTAGTTATTCTCATATATTCAACAGATTGCATCTTTGATGACCTGGCATTCTTTCAACTTAAAAATTTCAAGACCTCCAAAATGAGATTGCTGGGCATGTTCCAGGGGTGATCCTGCCTGTTCTTCCTTTCCCAGGGGGCGACATGCCTGCTCCTGCTCAGCCCATCATGAGTGCTGTTTGGATTAACAAGGAGCGAAGGAGCTCGCTGTCCCTGGACGAGGCCGAGCCTGAGGCCAAGGGGATGCCGGAGGAGGCCAGCAGAGGCTGTCTTCAGATCCCCACGTCCCCGTGGCACACACACCTAGAGATGCATTGTTTGGCACAGACTTTTTGTCAGGAAGCCAGCCATCAGGTGCAGCACAAGGGCAGGCTCGCTGGGTCTGACCAAAGACTCGCTCCAGAAGGAGACCCAGGCTTGTTTGAAAGCAATCAGAGAGCTCAGCAAGAGCTCGAAATGCCAGAGGCAGCCCAAAGTCAATGTCACGTGGGCAATACCCAGGCAAAGGCAGAAGAATCTGGCTTACACAGGAGCATTCAATGCCCTCTTCCCTCAAAGAACCTACACAGACCTGGAAAATCAGCTCATTACCCATTTCCTCAAAAGAAAACTCCCAGGATCTCCCAAGCTGCACGAAACCTGGGCTTATATGGACCAGCCTGAAGTTCCTGCTCAGCCTGCAGCCTTGGCCTTGAAACCATGGATACCTCATCAGAGAACCAGGGAGACAGAGCCACATTGAGAGGCTCCAGCTGGAAATAAGAACTACCATTGTAGGAACTGTGAGAAGTGGACTTGTATGAGCTCATGGTCTGGTCCTTCAAAAAAAGAAGAGACCGCTCAGGTCAAGTGCTTATAGCTTAGAATGAAAAGGTTCTGTCCTATCAGTGCAGCCCCGTTCAGCTTATACAAGAAGGCAAGGCAAGGATGCTATTGCTTAGGAGGACTGAGTAGGAAATCTGCTGAGTTGATGGAGCTGGAGAATTTTGAAGTTTAGAGACCGTAGCCATTCGAGATGCCTTGGCAGTACGCAGGGGCCAGTGGGCACGGACAGTCTCGGTTTTGTTTTTATGTAGCTTCTGATATTTCACACATATTCTCAAGAAAACGTGCTCTGAGAATTGCCTTCTGACTGTTCTGTCTGGAGACCAGCTCACTTACAAATCTCTAAATTCATGGTGACTGAATTCAATTAGATTGATTTCAAGTTTTGCATTCCAAGGAATGGTATTCCTGGAAAAAAGAGCATTCAACCCTGTCACCACTATTTTGTGCTTAACGAACTTTACGAAGAGCTAATTATTTCTTAGCTTCCTTTGAGACCTTGTACATCGCAGTAGTATTTCTTTCCATCATCCTCCCTTTCTTGCTTTTTAAAAAAAAATTATCTTTATTTTTTATTGGTTTGCTACAAAATTCGCGTACATTGTTTCATTTATGTACATTGTATTTTGCATGATCTTTCACTCACTTTGCATTTCATATGATCATTCCCACACATTGTGTTTTATAAAATTAATCACCACAGATCTATGCCCACTGTCACCCCATCTTTTCAGGTCCCCTCTAGATCTCTCCTCATTCCTTTACCCCTCCCACTTCCCTTGCTTTTTTCTGTTGCTTTTTCCCCCCCTTTCTTTCTCTTCCCTTCCTCTCTTGATTCTTTTCCTATCTTTTTTCTTGTAATTCCAAATTAAGGTCTTATTGAAAACTTTCAAATTAGTCATTAGTACAGTCATGGGAACCTGAACAAAAGGAGCCAGACTTGGACTATTGAATCCTTTCCTGCTACAAAATGTGCTTTTAAAAACCAATTAAAGCAGTTAGTATTTGAGTGATGGAGAATAAAGCACCTCTTTCCTGGCTACTGTTTAACTTTAGTAATGATATTTAAACAACTCCAATGTACTTTCTCGGGTATCACATTACCTTTGTGAAGTTTCACCCACAGGCTTTCTTCCTCATGGTGACAGAGACGTGCTCGGTCACATCCAGAGCTGCTAAGTACAAGGGTCACTACTCATCAAAAATACGTATGCACATGTCTGCTTGGAAACTCCTTCTAGTTTTGGGATTCACTGTACTTCCTTTTCCTGTTGTTATTTTTTTTTATTATTAATTCTAATGACAGTTTACCGAGACTTGGGGTTTCCAGTCATTCATTGTTGCACTTTTCTCCCTCCTTCTTCTCCCCTCCAGTTCACTCTTCTCCTTGAAAAGAAAAAAGAAAAACTCTTTTCATTGTTATGCAGTCGTCCACTCCTCTATGCAGCCTTCACTCTGGACTTCTGTAATGACAAGAATTCCCATTCAAATATCCCTTTCAAACAGTTCTTTCATCTGTTTCAATGAAGTATACATCATTCCTCCGCTCCTTTTCTGTCTTCCCCCAACACTGATGTCAGTCCCATTTTACAACAGTGGCACTATGCAGTATTTGCCCTTTTGTGACTGAGATCTTTCACTCAGCATAATGTTCTCTAGGGTCATCCATTTTGCATAATAGTTCATGAGTTCCTTGTTTTTCAATGCAGCATAGTTTTCCATAGGACAGAGAGGCAGGAGGATAGAAAGCTAGCCAAATAGAGAGGAGAGAGAGAGAGAGGATGATAGAGAGGAAGGTGGAAAGAGAGGCTGAAGATAGAGAGGCAGGAGGATACAGAGGCTGAGGATTCAGAGGCTGGAAGATAAAAAGGCTGGAGGATAGAGAGCCATTAGGATAGAGAGGAAGGAGGATAGAGAGCTAGACGGATATAGAGGCAAGAAGACACACACACACACACACACACACACACACAGGGAGAGAAAGAGAAAGGAGGATAGTAAAAAAGGAGGAAAGAAAGAAAGGGGGATAGTAAACAAGGAGCGAAAGAAAGGGGGTAGTAAAAGAGGAGAGAAAGAAAGGAGGATAGTAAAAAAGGAGGAGAGAAAGAAGGCAGATAGTGAAAATGAGAGAAAGAAAGGGGGTAGTAAAAAGAGGATGGAAAGAAAGGAGGATAGTGAAAAGGAGGAGAGAAAGAAAGGGATAGTAAAAAAGGAGAGAAAGAAAGGAGGAGAGTGAAGAGGAGAGAGAAAGGGGGATAGTGAAAAAGGAGGATAGCAAAAAAGATAGAAAGTTAGGAAGATAGGAAAGAGGATGATAGGAAGAAAGGAAGAAAGATAGAAAAGAAAAAAGAGAGGAAGAATGATAGAAAGAAAGAAATCACAGGAGAAAGAGACCTGACTTCGAGTCGACCAAAACTTGACTCTGAGCCTTACTAAGCCTGATTCTGAGCCTAACTAAATCTCACTGTATGCCTAAGGCCAACTCTTAACTAATTCTTACTTCAGGCCTTACTAGATCTCACTCTGAGCCTAACTAGGTCCTACGTTGAGCCTCACTAAGCAGCACTAGTCCCCACTCTGAGCCCAAGTAGGCCTGACTCCGAGCCTAAGTAGGCCTGATTCTAAGAAACCTCGACTCTGAGCCTTACTAAGCCTGATTCTGAGCCTAACTCTCACTTATACCTAAGCCCAACTCTTAACGATGACTGAGTCCAGTCCAAACTAGGCCTCACTAAGCAGCTCTAGGCCCCACTCTGAGCCTAATTAGGCCTGACTCTGAGCCTAACTAGGCCTGATTCTGAGTCCAACTAAACTCGACTCTGAGCCTAACACTCACTGTATACCTAAGCCCAACTCCTATCCTAACCAAGCCCGACTCCAAGCCTAACTAGGCCTGACTCCAGTCTAGTGAAAATCAACTCGGAGCTTAACTAAACCTGACTCTGAGGCTAACTAAATTTCAATGTATACCTAAGCCTAAGTCCTAACCTATCTCAGTCTGACTTGAAGCCTAACTGAGCCTCACTGTGAGCCTAACTAGGTCATACTCTGAGCCTAACTGTACAGCAGTAAGACTTCTAGCATGAAGGTTTCCTCCAATGACATGAAACCCTCTATGGATGCTGTAGCCATTGTGTTTGAGACAAAAAGAAAAAAGAAAGAGAGGGTAGGGGGAGAGAGAGAGAGCGATTAGGATAGAAAGAGAAGAGGGACGAGGGACATAAAGGAATTGGATATAAAGAAAGATAGAAAGAATGGAGGCTAGAAAGAACTGAGGATTGAAAAAAGGAAGAAAAAACGAAGATGAGAGAGAAAGAAAGGGGGTGGGGAGAGAGAGAGAAAGTTCTCTCTTCCCGGTTGTTCTGTGTTGTCATTTTTCTATTGAGATCTTCCTCTCTCTCTCTCTCTCTCTCTCTGTAACTAAAATGGCTGGAGTGGCATTCTAGTCAGGAATGAAGTATCAGTACGAATAAGGACAATTGATAAGAATGAACATCTTTGAATTGTGGTGTTGGTGGAGAATATTGAAAGATTGCCAAGCTGAATCTCTCTCATGTCCATCTAGTTGGAACTGACTCAGAACTGACCCTTCATTGGGTTTCCAAGGCTGTGTACCACATGGGAGGAGATTGCCCATCTTTCTCCCTCAGAGCTGCCACGGGATTCGAACCGCCAGAGGGGCACTGCCTTGGGGTTAGCTGGTAACTCCCTGTAAATGATGCCAACAGAGCCCCAATGGACTGCCAAAAGAACAGAGAAATCTGATTTGGACAAAGTGCAACTAGCATGCTCCTTAGCAAGGATGATGCGATTTTGTCTCACATACTTTGGGCATGTTATCAAGAAGGGTGTCGCTGGAGAAGGAAAAGCAGGGGGTCAGCAAAGGAAAGGAAGCCTTTCAGTGAGATGACTGACACCGTAACTGCAACACTGGGCTTGGGGACAGCAGAAACTGAAGGCGGCACAGGATCCGGTCAGGGTTGTACAGAGGGTTGAAATGAGTCAGGGCAACTCAGCAGCACTCAAGAACAACAGACCCCTTCTGGTAGACACCACCGCCTTGGAAAGAAAGCATCTTTGATCTTTCCCCCCTTGGCTTTGAGGAGAATTGGTCAATTGCCCTGTTTTATGAAAACAGAAAAATCTCCATCCAAACATCAAATGTCCCCCAAGAACGTGACCACGATGTCCCTTCCCAGCCTCATCTCACTACAGAGAAAGGAATCAGGCCCTGCCTGCCATGATGGTGGCTGTTTCTCAGCGTGCTGCAGGGCCCTGGTTCTCAGATTCTAATGTTTGTCAGGGTCTCCTGGTGGGCTTGTAAACACAGAATGATTACTTTTGCCTCCAGTTTCGGTCAGTAATGCAGGGAGGAGGGGCAAAACTTTGCAAGCTCAGTAAGTTCTTAGAGATTTCTGTTGGTCTAGCACCCTTTGGAAGCCCAGCTTTTAGAAATATGGCTGATCTATAAAAGTGGTGGCAATTCTTGGAATAATGAGGGCCCTTTGTTGTTAGCTCTGGATTATAGACACCATTTTTGAGGAAGAGGAAAGAGTTCATCGGTCTACAGCCCTCCTGTCTCAGTACCTAGTTAACCCTGGAACCCCAGTCCCACTCCAACTCCGGATGAAGGCGGAGTGGCACTGAGGGCCGAGCTGGGAGACTGTGCCACCATTCTTGATTACCTCAGCTGAGTGGGAAGACTCCCTCCTGCTTCTTAGTAGGCATTAAACCCTGCAGATCTCCCCGCCCCCTGAGGCAGATGAGAGGAGTTTCTTCCAGAGGCCAAGCTGAGCTGTTGATTAAGTGTGGAGATAAAGGAAAATGTCCAGTCATTT